GGGGGTGGGGGGGATGCGGTTTTTGTTATAAGGCACGTGCACTCACCGGAAAGACAGAGGGAGACAGAGAGCCAGAAAGGGAGAAATCACCCCCCAGGGGGAATGGCCACTCTGCAATCCCTTCTCCATTCTCCTCTCAGGATCTTGGGCATGCACACACATGCACCCGGCTGGGTCCAGGACTTGAACTGCGGTCAACTACATGGGAGTCCAGTGACATGGCCATTACTCCAGTAACTACTGGTTCCAGCACTCATTCTTGAAAAAGGCACTGTGTGACTAAACATACCAAGTATCTCCCTAAAAACCTGAATGTCCTCATTTTCAAATAAACTGCCAGACATCTACTGAAAGAGCTAGCAACACCTTATACTGTTTCCAAGGACTTCTGATGGTGTCTTAGATAAGCACACTTGAAGTCATTACCCCATGTTAGCCAGGAAGGAATTGCTGGGCCCAGTTGGAGACCGTGGTCTGTCCTGCTCCTCGTACACTGGGGGAGGAATAGCAGCTTTGGAAGACTGTGATCGTGGCCTTGAGTCCTCCTCGTAAGGAAAATCTCGGGGTACTGTGGAAGAAAAACAAAGTAGGCTCACCAAAATACTACAGAAAACATTTAGAAACCACATTGGCACTAATTATTTATCTCACACTAATTTAACCTATATTCTTGCTTTATCAAAAAAAGAAAAAAATAATCAAGTTTGTCTCCACATGACTTTTTTAAAACACAAAGGCAGAACACTAATTTCCTGATTCTAACTTTGCTTCAACATTTTTTAACTCCTCATACATCTGTTTATACATCTTACCGAAAGGTTACTTGTCCTTTACAGTTCTCTTAAATAATAATCCTTGCCAGAATCCTTAAGATCTTATGTTTTTTAAAGAATTATTTTATTGAACTTTATTCATTCACTTATTTACTTATTTTATTTAACCAGAGAGGGACAGAGACAGAGAGAGAGAGAGAGAAAGTGAGAAAGCAAGGCACTAGGTCAAAGACTAAAACCACGGTCGGCCATATGGGAATCTAGCGCCCCTAACCACCATGCCACCTACTGGCCTTAAGATTTTATGTTCTAAGGAGATATAATTGAACTCTCTTTTGATCCCCACAGCATCTTCTGTACCCTGCTATCTCACAAGCCTCACAGACCATAAAGACCTTGGAGCTTAGGGTACACACACCAGTCTAGTGGCTTTCAACCCTACATACTAGAATCAACAGGAAGCTTTAAAACTATCCATATGCCTAGGCCCCACTCTCAGAGATCGGTTTCAGTGAGGGTTTATTGCTTGTCATTTGTTTTTACACAATTGGTATTTTAAAATATTTTTTAAATTATCTTTTTTTTTTTAAATAACGTAAATAGTGCAACAGGTATTGGAAGAGTGCTGTGGATGATTACATCTTCTTGAGGTAGTTTAGAGCACGGAAAAATGACCCAGATGACATATCAAACTCCAATCCAAAATGCTAGAAGAAATTATTAAAAGATGAAACAGTGGGTGGTCAGGTTTTGGTAATGTACTTAAATGGACTCCTACCAACACCTTCCATGAATTTGAAAGATAAATTCAAGGAAGACACTGCCCCCTTGTGGAAGGTCATGAATAATACAATAGCTACTAACAACATGAAAAAATTGTAAACAGATCACTGCTCTTTTAACTTAACTATAAAGGAACCTTAACAACAAATCTGAAATGTTGAAAAATACTAATCAAATTTATTTTAAAAAGAGAACCCCGGGGTCAGCAGGTGGCATGGTGGTTAAGACACTGGACTCCCACATGGCTAACCATGGTTTGAGTTAGACTAGTGGCTTGAAAATCATGCAGGGTAAGTGTGTATTCATGTCCCAAATACCAGAATAAAGGAGGAGAAGGGACTATAACATGGCCACCCCCCTTGGGGGTGATTTCTCATTTTCTCTCTTACTGTCTCTCCAGGGCATGCACCCTATGGCAAAAATCTAAAAAACAAAACAAAAATGAAAGGAGGGACCACACTATATACAAATACAAGCCTCAGAGATACATGTTACAAGGTCTAAGTACTAGGGGAAAAGGAAGCAGCAGCCCCAGATCCATAGGTGGGCTCAGGGACCCGGGTCAGAGGATGGTTTCAAGGCTTTTCCTCCTAAACTCAGGAAACTTCTGGAGTCAAAGAGTCTCCATAATTGGCTTAAAGATTTGCATTAGAGTAACAGGGGAAGAAACAGATCCACTTACACTCTTTGTCTTTTTCCACAAGAGAAGTAGGTGGGGCAATGGCAGCTCCACCCATGCCTGCAAAAACAAATTTATCCATTAAAGAAAATGTTTCTGATGCCAGACTCCCAAGGACTGCGACACATGTCACTTGTTCTTATCACCAACCTCCCTAAGAAAAAAGGGAGATGTTACTTTATCCCCCTTCCTAACAACTAAACAATTAATGTCTGAAGCTAAGGTTAAAAGTGTAGAAAACTGACAATACCTAGAGAGACAAAATTGTTTTCTTGTTTTTTCCCCTCATAAAAAACATTCGAGACCCCCAGAATGTAGTTACCAAATTAACTTTAAGGCAAAATGATACAACCCAAAGAACTGAGAGTCATTTAAAAAAGAGTAACATAACTATTTACAGGCACTTTCATATACACATCCTTTTCTGGGTTTTATAAACCTTTGAAATAGGTATCAATGTTTCCAGTTTGCATGAGAAATTGGCAGAAATAGAAATAAACCCAGATCCCTGTGATGCCAAAATTCCCTTCCTATGCTCCTTTTCCAGGACACAAACTACTGGAACTAAATGCCTATTTGGAAATGTGGGTCTGCCCGGCTCCTGGCTCCTATAGAACCGCGACATGTCACAATTTCCGCTGTTTCCTGCACAGAGAATGATGGAGAAGCGCATGCTCGCGCACGCACACACAAACAATAAGAGATCTTTCCATTTGCTATCTGTGAACCAAAAAGCAAACAAGAGTAGACAGTAAAGAATTTTTCATTACATATTAAGTCTTAGCATACATAGCATGGGGCCGGCAGGTGGCGTGGTGGTTAAGGACGCTGGACTCCCACATGGCCAACTTCGGTACAAGTCCTGGACCCTGGACCTGGCGACTTGCTATCTCACTTTCTCTCTCTTTCTCACTCTCTGTCCCTCTCCAGTCAAATTAAAATGAAGAAATAAGTAAATAAAGTTAAAATAATTTTTAAAAATATGATCACTTAATCACCACAGGAATAATAAATTAAATATAAATTAAAAATTGGTTATAAAATTAAGCTGAAGCATCATAAAATGTTTCACAAAACAAACACTACTGTGAAGCCAGATGATTAGTTGACCTGGACAACGTAAAATTCTTAAAGAGGGAAATATGAACCTGCTTACCAAAGCCTCTTTTTATGTATTTCCTTTGAACTAATTCTTATGATCACTTTAACTTTGTCACTAAAACTTAAGAATGATTATTTACTGATTGGTTATGAAAAGTATATTTGCTCTAGTAAGTTCAATATAAAAAATGCAGGTGATTATGGGAAATGTGCTACTAACAAGTTAAAATGTGAACATCAATCTGTTACCAGCGGTATACATAACAGATACAATGTCACTACTTCCCTTTCTATTTGACTGACTACCAGATCAAATAGGAAGTTTTCACTAGTGGCTATATAGTCCCTGCTAATGTTTAAGAATAAAATAAATGTATATATGGACAGTATGCCTCCTCACAAAAAGCAGCAACTTATAAGCTGGAAAGATGAGATCTACAGACCTCCAACCTATATACTAGATTCTAAACAAATTCATATGTATTAAGCATTTGCTGATTAGCTGAGACAATGGATGTAATATTGTAACACATCCTTGACACACAGATGCACTAAATATATGTTAATTCCAGTAGTTGGCATGTGGTAAATATTTTACAATTACATTTAATTCCTATCTGCACTTAAACCTTAGGAATTTTAAATTATTTCAGGGCCAGTAGGTGGTATAGTGGTTACAGTGCTGGATTCCCACACATGGTTGACTGTGGTTCAAATCTCAGACCTGGGGGCTTGCATGCACTCTCTCTCTATCCTGGTGGCTTGCTTTCTCACTACCTCTCTCTCTCTCTCTCTGTGTGGGCCCTGTAGCAAACTTTTAAAAAGTAATAATAACAATAAATACTTCTTTGAAAAATTAATTTTAAGTTATTTCAATCTTAACATTTTCAAGCTCAGTAAATATTTTAAAAATTTAGTCCTTTTCAAGCTCAGTAAATATTTTAAAAATTTAAATTCTGAAACATCCTAATTTACTATATACATTTGCTGAAGTGCTGATCAAAGAACAGAACTCAAGGAGAAAGGAATATACTCAAGTTTTGTGATATTATTCTTAGGTCTCAGATACCGATCATAATGAGGTATTTAATCAAATAAACATCTAGGACAAGACAAAAAGTGGACATATATAAAGTACTTATACCCTCTGTGCCTCAAGCTTCTTACCTTTAAAATGGGGATGATAATGAAGCTGCTTAGAGGTGTGAGGTTAAAAGGAGATATTCTCTAAAAAAGTGCTTAGAATAGTGCCTGGTATTTAGTAGATAAGGAGAAGATTTAAATTTCTCATTGAAATCAATCTGCCAACCAAACTAGTCAACTGTATCAAGGAAATTGCAGTAATGAAGACACAATGCAGTTGCTAGATGCAGCATTCCATTAGCTCAAAAATTAAAGCACTGCTAGTTATTACTGTAAATTCATTCACTGAACAATTATAATCCTAACAAAACTACAGCAAGAAAAGGCCCCTGATAAAGTACCTACTTCAAATTCCTGTCACCCTCCTCTCCCACGAGACAGATGAAAGAAACCAACACACAGAGTAGTTTCCTCAAGTTCACGCATGCTAGTTCAAATACCTGCTCTGTGCTCAGTGCTGACCAGAAATGCAGCTGGACTCAAGATACCAGGCAAATAGGACTGTGAGTGTCCAAGAGACAAACGCTAGAATCATTGTGAAGGCCAAGAATATGTATTAAAACATGACGTAAATACAAACTGTTACACGAACATATACTGCTGGAATTTCAGACGGAAAAGGACCCAAGTCTATTTCTGGGTCATTGGAAAAGTCATGATGCATTTTTGCATAGAGAAACACACCACGATTTTTCCGAGGACCCAACACTTATCAAGTTGAATGTGAAAAGCAAACAGTAGCCTGTGCCATGTTTACACGTATTTATGTCCATTCTTACTTCTTTTCCTCCTTTCTCGCTCATAATCTTCATCTTCATCAGAATCTGGATCCGGTCGTCTTGAAAACCCACTAGCTTCATGTCTGTCCTTACGTCTCCTATGGTAATAAAGGAAACAAGGGCTTATCAAAGCTGAGCCAATTTAGAGATGGACACCTGGGCTATCGCCTTGACTTCTTGGCCAGAAATGTAATGAATTACTAATGTGCAGGGGGTATGAGAGACAACATAACTGGTTCAAGACTAAAGCAGTAAAAGTATGAAAAGTGATAAAAGTTCAAAAGAAGAACTGAAAAAATGTAATACGTACATGAGTGTAACCAGCAAGAAAAAAGTTTCCTTGATGTTATCTCTTTTGATTTTAAAGCATACCAACATAGTAATAGTTTAATATTTGGTTCTCTCAAAAACAATCACTTACTGAATCATTTAATGAAATGATTCAATAAACAGTATATTAACTATTTAATACATAGTTTTTAATAATATTAAATATTTTTAGAAGAAGAAAATATAAATAAATCCTGCTACTCATACTTTGCAAGCCCCACAGCATAGTGTTTAAGTGCTATGCATTGGGAGCTGGATCTCAGGTGGCTGACAAGGTTCAAATCCTGCTCCAGAGGCTTGAAAAACATGCTGGGCATACGTGTATGTGTCCACACAAAATCCAGCAGGAAAAGAGAAATAAAAGAAAAGAGGATTGCAGCGTGACCATGCCCTGTTGGGTAGGGTGCATTCTCTTCCTCTCTAGCAAATTAAAAAAAAATTTTTTTAAAAATCCAATCTGGCTCAGAAGTGATAAGGTTAAGAATAGCATTTTAAGCATTTTAAATAGTTTTGATTGTAGCAGAGTCATAATTTAGGCAAAAACAAAACAAAACAAAACAAAACAAAAAAAACCACTTCCAATTTCTAAGTTATTTTTCTAATGACTTACCCAAAAGTTATACTTTAGGTTTTCAGAGTCCTTAGAAATGTGCTCGAGTATGTTACTATGCTGAGCTGTCACGATCACAAATTCTTTAATCAACCATGCCTAACTCTAGCCTTACAGACAGCACTAAAGTTCACACTTTTTAATATTCTCTCTCTTCTAATGCTACAGGGTGGGCATAAAGAAAAGGCTGTGGGGAAAGAGAGAAGACACCCCTGGACACGCGGCAATCTCCTTCTCCCCAATTCTCCATAATGTTGGGATCGTGAGCACCCATGTGCCCTATGTGTTTTTCAAACTGCCTGAGATGGAAAACACGAACCCTGGGCAATCACATGGGATCCAGCTTCCTCTGCTCAGTGTTTAACCAATGTGTTACAGGGCTGGCCTTCATGCTTGAACATTCAAATGAACATTTCAATGGCAGAATACCCCCAAAACCAAAGGAGGCCTTACTTTTCCCTTTCTTCTATTTCCTTTTGTCTTTCCAGCTCCCGCTGTCTCTGTCGTTCCTCTCTTTGGCGCTTCACCACTTTCTCATAATCATTAGGAAACATAGGGTCATATTCATCAGCTAAGGGAATCAGAACTTCCCCTGCAGAAAACCCACTGGGAACAGGGTCCTGAGGAAAGTAAAAACATCAAAGTAAGTATCACCTTCATCTCTTTCAAAGTTACTCATAGAACAAAGGCCAAAGAATTACATAAAAGGTGACCTTGAAGAACATCTAGCTCCAATCTTTGTTTTATAGAAGAGGAAACAAATTCCTGAGGAAGTCACACATCCAGCCAGGTGGCAACAAATCATTACAAAGAATTTCACCTCTTAGTTTGGCACTAGTTCCACAGTATCAGTCATAAGGCACTTTCCTGGAAGTCAGATAAACCACTCACAACTAAAACTTAAGACACCAGTACTTGAAAGCAAAATATGTATTATTTATAATAAAGTACCAAATAGTTCAGTTTTTGCATATCTCTGAAAATGGGAAAAAAAGAAATTCCACAAACAACATAATCATTCTTGTAGTTACCATTTAACAGAACAACTTTGGGTTCTGATTACATGGAGGTGACACATTAGCATTTTAGAAAGCTTCCTTGTATCTTTTAAAACTCCCTGGCACATCTCTCCCCAGTCAGCAGCATTTCAGGCACTAAGTTTGACACAACTGGCTCTAATTCCCTTCCCAGCAGCAAAATTTTTATAAAGTTCACTAAGATCAGGTAAAGACGGTAACATTTTGCATTTTTTTCTCCTATACATTTAGAAACTTGGACTAACTCTTTGAGAAAATAAGTTACGTTTGTTACTTATAACGAAGAAATTAGAACAAAAGGGAGGCAGAGGGCAGATCTTCACCCTCGGTGGGTAGCCTCAATTTACCTGTGGTTCCGGGACCAGCAGTTAGCGTAATGGCTATGTCGCTGGACTCCCACGTAGTCGACCACGGTTCAAGTCCTGGGCCCAGCGGCTTAAACTCACACTAGGCACGTGTGCATGTGTGCCCAAGGTCCCGAGAGGAGAATGGAGGAGAAGGGATTGCGGTGTGGCCATCCCCCCTGGGGGGTGATTTCTCGCTTTCTGTCTCTCTGTCTCTGTCTGTGTGGTGAGCACATGCGCTCTACAGCAAGAACCTTGCAACAACAACAAAAACAAACAAACAAAAAAAATTACCTGTGGTTCTATAAACCCTAATCAAACTTTGCAAAACCTTCATACTTTCTGAGAAAGGTAGCTTTCTAAGCATAATTCTTTTTTTTTTTTTTTTTGAGAGGTTTTCGCTATAGGGTACGTGGGCTCGCCAGAAAGATACAGACAGACACAGAGACAGAAAGCGAGAAATCACCCCCCAGGGGGGATGGTCACCCCGCAATCCCTTCTCCATTCTCCTCTCAGGATCTTGGGCACGCACCCGGCGTGAGTTCTAAGCCACCAGGTCCGGGATGTGAACCACGGTCGACTACGTGGGAATCCAGCGACATAGCCATTACGCTAACTGCTGGTTCCCAGCATAATTTTTTTTTCCCTCTAACAAGAGGCCTTCACTGTCTACACGGATAGCTTGAGCACGTACATGTTAAGGTTAGTGTCCTGTGGTGACCCGTTTGTGTATCTTTCAGAAAGGACAGTGTGGAATAACATCAAAGACAAGATGGTTGTTTGTAAAATGTATTTTGTGCATGACTATAAACTGATATGATCAAGACAGTTTATGTTCAATACCAACAATTATTTATCTAGATCTAATACTTCTGCTAGTCTACTGTTGATTTGGTTTGATTTTCTTTCTTTTTTAATTCCTGTAGTGTGTGCCCCTCCTCCTCAGATAAAGAGTGGAAGAGAGAAGGCACCCTCAGTGGGGTGTAGTTACATTGCAATCCTTTCTCTTTCATTTCTCCATCCTGTCAGGATTCTGAGTGTGAGTGTGTGTGTGAGTATGTGTGCATGCCCATTGTGTTTTTCAAGCCATTAAGTCCAGGATTCAAACTGGGGTGGGCCATGTGGGATCAGACTCTTTTAACCACTAGACTGTGGGGTCAGCACTGATTTGACATTTTGTACTGTGAAGAAATGCTTCATCATATCCTTAGGACTGAAAATAAGGAAACCCTATGATTCAAAGAGTAAAAGCCCCATCACTAAAAAATGTACTTAACACAGGGCTCCCAAATGGTAGTTATGTATTTATATTCATATAGAAGACATTTTAAAAACACAAAAGCATGTGACTGAAGAAAAACTAATAAGCAGTCATTCAATTCATATAAAAGTATTATCACAAAGTGCCTAGGAGAAACTGTCAAAATGAAGGTTAAGTCAAAATGAAGGTCAACTTTCTGTCATTTCAAAATGTGAAAGGAAACAAATTTTTACCATATAAATCCTGCTAAATTTAACAATGGGTTACATTTTCCTAAATGCTTTAAAGAATACAGCAATCTGTCCAATTAAAAAAAAAATAATAAAGCAGTTAATACCCCAATGTTGAGGAAGGGAAAATGGGGTAATACTGAAAATATTTATATATTGTAGGTGGCATGGTGTACTGCTGGGAACAGCTGGTACTAAAACAAATTGACCATAAAAATGACTGACCTCTTAATGCCCCCTCTGGAAATCTATACTAAGAAAATAAATACATAGAAAGCTCTCTGAAGAGATACTCATTAGTGTTATTTATCTATAATGACAACATAAGAGATCTAGGTGGATCTACGGTTTGGGAATACTTGTGTAAATTAGGATGCATTCACTTGATGGAAGTATTTCACAATTAAAAACAGGTCATGAAAACTTTGGAGCAAGAAAAAAAGTGTTCATTGATTAAATGGGGGTAAAAACAACATTACAAGTACCAGGATCAATACAGAGATGATGAACCAGTTTTTGACTAGATGTAGTAAAAAAATTAGGTGTTAAATTTACACACAAAAAAAGTTAAGTGATTAAGAATCAGAAAAAAAAAAAAAAAAAAACACTTCCACTGTGGGGTGCCTTCCCTCTTCAAGGACTATTAGCCCTTAGGAGCAGCACGAGTTCCTCTGGCCAGAACAGCTGCCAGGAGTTAAACCCAGCCTGTCTAGAACGGGAGTACGGTGAGGAGCAGACGAGAATGAGACAGAACAGCCACAGGGGAAGGAAATACAGGAGAGTGCAAGCACCCGGGACCACGACTCAGCGCCTGTGAGTAACAGCGAGGAGTATGGGAATCGGGGTGAATGCAAGCACCTCAGTCAGAAACACTCAAACAATAACACCATTATCTATTATTAACTTTATCATCATTTTTCATTCAGCTATTTTTTGAAATGTATAGTGTTGTTTAACCTACTATAGTCACATCTGAATGCTATCTGTGGGAAGACAAAGGTATGCCTAAATAGTAGGTGTACTATTAACTACAGTTTCTATTAAATCCATCTACACTTTGTTTTGAATAGCTTTAATTATAATTTGAGTTATCCTTTTCCTGATCTTCCTCACCGTCACTGACCAAGTTTATAGTGAGTTGCCATGTTGGTTTATTTATTTATTTATTTTAAAAGAATTATTTAATATTTATTCATTCACTTATTTTTTAATTTGACCAGAAAGAGACACACAGGAGGCGGCGAGGGGGAGAGACAATGAGAAAGCAAGCCACCAGGTCTGGGACTCGAACCATGGTTGGCCATGTGGGAGTGTCCAGCACCATGCCACCTGCTGGTCCCCACGTTGGTTTATTTTTAAGCCTATGTACAATCACTGGGGTAATAAAAGTTGAAGTGGTATGAGTGTTTCGTTTTTAAAAAAAAAAAAACCTTTCTCTTTTATTCCATAATAAAACAGTGTTAACATCGATTATGATAGCAAAAATTAGAAATAATCCATATATCAAGAATTAAAGGAATTAGATATAGTATGTCCATACTCAGTAACATAGTGAAACCATTAAAATGATTATATGATCCCACATTTCCTGACGCAGATTAAGTGAGAAAAGATAGAGAATAATAGGTGGAAAAGGCATAAAATGGAATGGTATTCCAAAATACATATTTTTAAAAATTAATTTATTTAACTTTAATTAATTAATTAATTAATTTTAATTTGACCAAAAGAGATAGAGGGTAAGTAAGAACGCAAGCAGCTAGATCCGGGACTCGAATTACGGTCAGCCATGTGGGAGTCCAACGTCTTTAACCACCATGCCACCTGCCGGCCCCCCAAAATAAAAAATTTTTAATTTCTGGAAGGTGGACTAAAGGTCTTGTTTTTGCACATTTCAAGTTTCTAATATTTCCATAACAAACAATTTTAAATAGATAAATGTTTTAAAATAAAAGTAGAAAGTATTTGGAAATAATACTAGCTAGAAAGGTCCCTGAGGACACAACCTGTTAAAGTGACACGTATGTAAAACAAACTATACAAGCCAGGGAGTCCCAGCTACCTGGGAGGCTGACATGAGAAGATTAAGACCCTCGTGATTAAAACACACGGCAGGAAACAGTACCCAAGTCACAGGCATGTATGGACTCACCTTCAGCCCAGCTGCTACATGAGGTGGGGTGTCCACAATTTGTCGGTCGTCTGAGGAGCCGCCTCGCTTTAAGTCAATGACTGGGGCAAGGACTGTACTTTGTTTTGTCCTTTGGCTCTGCAATCAACAAAAATAAGAAAAGCATACTGACATTTCAGATTAAAATTCATACTATTTTTCAACAAAGATTTTTTTCCTGGTATGTGTAATAAACCTTTAAGATATAAGAAAATCATCATCTTAAAACAATAGCCTTTAATTATTACTATTGATATAATCATACACTATTTTCTTTAGCTGTTTTTAAAACTACCAGGTTTTCTGCAAAGTTTACAGTAAGCTCAGTTGCTTTCATTTAAATTTACATGTGAAAAAAAATGTGAAAAAAGCTCTATGTTGGACTCTTCATTTGACCAAGGAAGGCAAATCTGTTGTACATCACGATTTTAACCTGTGTGGATTTTTCCCAAGTAATGGGTACACTTTAATATCCTGAGCAAAAGATACTTGGGATTAAAGTTTTCTCCTACCCACTAGTATGAGATCCTGCCATACCCATTCCATTATGAGCCTACAGGAAAAAAAAAAATTTAAGAAAATAATCATTCATATACATTCAACCATTGTTTTACCATTTTTCTTTACTCTATAACTATTTTTGCTAAATGATTCGAAAGAAAGTGGAGACATCATGACATTTTACTACTCATTTCTTTTTTTGTTTTAAGATATTTCTATAGGGCATATGCACTTGTTGGAAACATAGAAAGAGAGAGAGAGAGAAAGTGAGATATTACCCCCCAGGGGGATTGGCCACACCACAATCCCATCTCCTCCATTCTCCTCTTGGGATTTTGGACATGCAGACACACATGCCCAGCATGAGTTTAAAGTCAACAGACTCAAGACTCAAACCAGGTCAACCGTGTGGGAGTCAAGCACCTTAACCACTATGTCACCTGCTAACTCTTACCCCTCATTTCTTAAAACCACATTCTTGGGGCTGGCAGGTGATGTGGTGATTGGGGGCAATGGATACCCACATGGCCAACGTGGTTCATCCTGGACCTGGTAGCTTGCTTTCTCACTTTCCCTCTCTCTCTCTCTCTCTCTCTCTCATTCTGTCTCTCTCTGGTCAAATTAAAATAAATAAATAAAGTTAAATAAAATAATTCTTTTAAAAAAGAAAAAATAACTACATTCTCCCACATAACCACATACTTTTTTAAAAATAATTATTTAATTTTATTTATTCAATCATTCATTTTAATTTGACCAGAAAAGAGACACAGAGAGAGAGAGGGAGGGAGGGAAAGTGAGAGAGCAAGCCACCACATGCGCTCAAACCATGATCGGCCATGTGGGAGTGTCCAGTGCCTTAATTACCACACCACATACTCATCCCCACATAACCACATACACCTAATAAAATCAGTAATTTCTCAGTATCATTTCGCAACCAGTTCATTGGCAGATTTTCTAAGTTTTTCTCAAATTATCTTTTAAACAGCTAATTTTTTTTATTTTTAAAACCAGGATCCGGGACCAGCAGTTACCGTAATGGCTATGTTGCTGGACTCCCATGTAGTCGACCACGGTTCACATCCCGGACCCGGTGGCTTAAAACTCACACCGGGTGTGTGTGCGTGCGTGCCCAAGATCACAAGAGGAGAACGGAGGAGAAGGGATTGCAGCGTGGCCATCGCCCCTGGGGGGGGGGATGTCTCGCTTTCTGTCTCTCTGTCTCTCTCTCTGTCTGGCGAGCGCATGCACCATATGGCAAAAACCTCTCAAAACAAACAAACAAACAAACAAACAAAAAAAACAGGATCCTACCAAAGTTCCTAAAACACATTTGGTTTTTAAGCATCTTAATTTCTAACAGTCTCACTTCTCTGTCTCTATCAACATCTTCAGCTCCTTTTCTCCCGACACTATCTTGTAAATGTCCCAAATTCTAGACCTGTGTAATAACTTCCTGGTGGTCTAGTCTGACTCATTCCTCTATGCCCTGTAATTTCTGAAAAGTGGATGTTAAAAGCTTACTTTGATTCAGGGTAAATGCTTTTCGGCAAGAACACCTGACAGGTGAGATGGTACACTTTACCCTGCATCACCCCGGCAGGCAGGCTATGCCAGTTTGTCTACCAGTAATGCTACAGCTGATCACATGGTGGTGGTGATCATTGGATCTTTCAATTGTAAGGGTTTCATTTCCCCCATTTCACAGTTTAAAGTGTCACAAATTTTCACTCTCTACAAAAGGTTCAAAATAAGCACTCGTATTTCTCAAATACAACAATGCCCACAGGGCGAGCCGGTGTGGTGGTTAAGGTGCTGTATCCCACATGCCTAACTGAGCAGCTGAAGGTCCAGATCTGGTAGCCTGAGAACATTCCAGGTATGTGTGCATGTATGCCAAGAATCCTGAGAGGAGAATGGATTGCAGCAAGCCACTCCCCTGGAGGACAATTTCGAGCTTTCCCTCTTTCTCACCTGCAAGTACACATGCCCTATAGCAAAACTAAAAGGAAAAAATAAAATAAAATAAAAAACAAACTTAATTATGGAAAAACTTCAAACACAAAGCTAAAGAGAACAAATTAATATGTCTCTGTGCTTCTACTGCCCAATTTTATGTATGTTCTTACCTCCCCTGTCCGAGACTGGATTATTTTAAAGTAAATCCCAGGAAATTAAACCACTTTATCAATATTTCAGTATGTATTAAGTAGTTATACTCAATCTTCCCTTTATTACTGCCTTCCCACTCAAGAAGCTTTTTAATAAATTTCCCCTATCTATACAATTTGAACGCCATAACTACAGCATCACCTGTTTGTGTACGGTGTTTATGCCTGTGCTTTATGCATAAGAAGAGCGAGATTTCTTCACTTCCTAAAAATGCTATTTGCCTTGTTTGGGGAACATATAGCCTCTGTTGAGGCTCCAGCTCTAAAACATAAGGACTCTTAAAACAGTAAGGATACCATAATACCATTCTCACTCCTAACATTTTAATAATAAATATCCAGTTAAGAAAATGTTTTAATGTTTTACATGTTGAATTATTTCAAGGATACTGTCAATGCCTAACACATATACAACAGGAAAAAAGCAATTACCACCCAGACTACACAAGCCTACCCAACTCACAGCTAAGCGGAGCCCTCAATAATGCACATGCAGCAGCTTAATTATTCTGTACAGCTTTTTCCTCAAAGTGCTGCTTCTAAACCACATCCAAACCAGCACAAATGCTACTTAAACACTCTCAGAACCCTGCCTAAAACCATAAACTAGCAGGATATTAGAAAATGGCTAGAGACTCAGCACTTTAAACAAGTTCTGAATTTAGACATACTGGAGTACAAAACCAGTATCATTGCTGGAGATAGAGATGTGTTCCTTTATTCCTATCCCATGAAATATTTCTATTCCCAGGAGCTAAGAGAGACAAAGTGACCTTCTCCTCCTCTTCCTTCCTCTCCCTTTATAAATCTTTAATGCTACCCAATGAAAAGGCAAGCGAATAAGCGCTTCCTTTAACTCCTCTGAAGAATCCTGCTCCCCTGCACCAAGTCTGTCTTTACCTTTGCTTGAGTGAGCGCTGCCTTCTTCACCTGCAGCTGAGACTGCAGAAGTTTGAAGTTTTTAGACCAGCCTTCTGTCTTTGAGTCACTAGTCTCCACTCCCAGGTCATCGTACAGGGACATCTTTTCAATTTAGTGCTGAAAGGCAAGGGGAGTAAAGATTTAACAATACAAAATACAGTGAAGATTTTAGGTTTTTCTGCTTTAAAATAAATGAATTTTATTTTAAATCATGGAATTTTACAGGTAAAAAGTCCAAGACCTTCAGTGAAAGAGGCAAAACTCCAGGTAGCACCCATGCGGGGCTCTTTCTAATACATTAAGCCACACCCATGTATTATTTAAAAATAAACTTCTATGGGGGCCACGGTGGTTAGAGGCATTGGATTCCCACATGGGTGAATGCAGTTCAAGTCTCGGACTTGGCGGCTTACTTTCTCACTTTCCCTTTCTCTGTCTCTCTGGTTAAATTAACAAAATAATAACAACAAATTAAATTAAATAAGTAAGTTAATTCTTTTTTAAAAAATAAACCTCTAGGATTAACTTTTTCAGCTACAAAATCACATGGGTCAAGTGATTCATGAAGGAAATCTTTTGGTTCTACAGCATGAGTTGAGATGGATGCTCTTATACACTTTTTAAAAATTCTATTTATTTCAATAGCAAAAAGTCCTACAAAAACAACAGTTACCACGTTGATTAACAGAATTAGTTACATTTTGTAATGAAATTTAAACAAATTCCTAGAAAAAAGAAAAAAAGTCAGAAATTATTTACAGATACTATAATTTTTCAAGTTATGACTGCTTGCTGGAGGGGTTGTGTAGATGAATTACAGCGTAAATACCCTGACTTCTTCATGTCCCACTAAGTAGAATTTTGTAATCTTTAATGACACTGATTATAAAGACATGAACAACAACCTACATGTGAATGACAATATACAGTGTCTTTGCAGAAGAGAACACACAAACACACACACAAACAGTAAGAGTTAAGCCAGCTGGTGGTACGGTGGTTAGGCAGCTGGATCCCACAGGGCCAACTGCACAGTTCAAGACACAGTGGCTTGCAGGACAACAAGTGGCGTAGTGGTTAAGATCCTGGTCCACAGCAGTTCAAGTCCTGGACCTGGCATCTTGAAACTCATGCCAGGCACATGTACATGCATGCCCAAAATCTTGAGAAGAGAACGGAGAAGAGACTGTGGCCAACCCCCCCGGGGGGTGATTTCTCTCTTTCTGTCTATGTTTCTCAGCAAGTGCACATGCCTTATAGCAAAAATCTCTTGAAAGGAAAAAAGATATGGTAGCTTGAAAAACATGCTGGTCTCTGTGCATGCGCACCAAAAATCCAGAGACAAATGGAGGAGAAGGGATTGCAGTATGGCCATTCCCCTGGGGGAGGCTCTCTCATACCCCATCCCCTTATACTGTCTCTCTCAACGGGCACACATGCTCTACAGCAAATCAATAAAACAGAAACCGTAATAGTCAGTACTCGCTGAACCTTGGCAGGCCAGGTATGGTGCTATGCAGTAACTGTAAAAGGTACCATTAAAGCCCAGTACATTAGAGATGAGGACACTGGGGTTTAGGGCTTAATCTGCCCAAGGTCACAGTGGGAAGCTCCTTACAACCCAGAAAGGCTTACTCCAGAACTCTTGCTAGTAAATCCCAACTGCCAACTTTTAAAAACTTCAACATTCTAAAACCCACCAACATGGCCCATTTCTTAAAATAAGAAATCAATCTCTTTCTCATAGGCGGAAAACAAATTTAAAACAAAATCCATAAAATGAAAATAAATGCTTAATTAGCACAGTAGTTCCCAACTTAAGGACATGTTTCAAAACACTGTCCGTTCTGAGGGCCCAGCAGTTAGCGTAATGGCTATTTCACTGGACTCCCATGTAGTCAACTGAGGTTCGAGTCCCGGACCCAGTGACTTAAACTCACACCGGGCACATGTGAGTGCGTACCCAAGATCCCAAGAGGAGAAGGGACTGCAGCATGGCCATTCCCCCTGGGGGGTGATTTCTCACTTTCTGGCTCTCTGTCTCCCTCTGTCCTTCTGGCGAGTGCACATGCCCTATGGCAAAAACCTCTCAAAAAAACCCAAAACAAAACAAAACAAAAACCTGTCAGTTTTCAGGGGCTCAGATGACACTTTCCATAGAATCTGTGCCATACAAACTCCTATTCCACTTGTATTCTGTTATGCAGAAGAAGAAAAATGATACAGAAGAGAAGAAAACATTTACGCCCCTCTTAGACCTGACTGAGGTCAAACATTTCTCTCTGGTGTGGCTTACCACTTAGCACTCCCAATACCAGTATCCAACACCTTAGTCCACACTGTCTGGGTGAGGGACAGGGAGTGGACACCAACTTACATTCCTTCAGAATACTGCTCTGATCAAAAGTACATAGCTCCCTGCCTGAAATCAGTTCCCCACAAGGCAGCCGCCACTTTTCGGTTTCTTCCAGTCCATACGTGAACCTTCTTATTACTTATACTGACTCTCTCCTTTCTGATTTCTAAGTGAGAAATCCCCAAGGCAGCGGAGAAGCAGGGCTTATAAAAGCAGAGCACCAAGGGCATTGGCGGCTGATTGCACTAAGAAATAACACAAAAATGGAGGGAGGCCTACTATTCCTACTCCCTGTTAAAGCTCTCCGACAATTCTCCATCTCGGCTTTTGCTGTATATCCAACAGGGCAGGCCCACTGCCATCAGTGCCAAAGAGAAAGTTGGATTCAGGAGCTTGGCCATGCCTTGGAACATTAAGCTTGATGCACCAAAGCAAAATTAAGAAAAAGCAAGGAACCCTTTTTTTAATAAGTGTGGCTAAAATATGACCATGTCTTCAAAATGTTAGAGCTAATCCCCCTGGGGTCCACTTCAGAATTTTTTTTTGTTGTCGTTATAGGGTGTGTGTGCTCACCAGAGAGACAAAGAGACAGAAATTGAGAAATCACCCCACAAGGTGGGATGGTCATACCACGCACACACACACACACACACACACACACACACACACACACACACACATCACGCATGAGTTACACGCCGCCATCTCTCGAACCACGGTTGACTATGTGAGAGTCCAGCTATGTAACCATTACACCATCTGCCAGTCCCCAGAATCTTTTAATGCACTCTATTATAAACTCCATGAAAACCTAGATTCAGTTTGTCTTGGGTACTACCCACAGACTAAATCAGTGTTTAACCCAGAGCTGAATAGGAATTGAGGCCAAATGCCCAGCTAATACTCTATTTGCAAAGCCCTTCCAATCCATATCTAGAATTTTCTGGTCAACAATTACTTTGGCCAGGGACCAGCAGATGGCATAATGGTTTCATCACTGGACTCCCACATAGTCAATCGTTGTGTTGGAGTCCTGGACATGGCAGCTTAAATCTCCCGCCAGGTGCATGTGCGCGCATGCCAGGATCCCAAGAAAAAGATGGAGGAGTAGGGATTGTGGCATGGCCATCCCGCCTGGGAGGTGATTTCTTGCTTTCTGTCTCTCTGTCTCTCCAGCGAGCACACGCACCTTACAGCAGAAATCTCTCTTTAAAAAAATTACTTTGGCCAGAAGGAAGACAACTGGACTAAATAGCTTCTAAGGCTTTCGTGAACTTTTCTTTCAGCTTACCTAGCATCCAAAGCTCACTGTTCATATCTAGAAGCATATCCTTTGACTATAATCTGGAAAAACTCAAGGCAATAGCAAAGAAAATAATACTGAGCATCCAGCCTTCACACTGTGGTTCCCCCAAAAAATTGCTTTAGAAATGACTTAATCTTTTGAGCCCCCTTCATTTAATCGGTCACAAAGCGAAGTATAGCATGACCGTTCATAGGGGATGCTTTCTTCTCTCCCTCTCTCTCTGGTAAGCACACCCACTCTGCAGTAGGTGCACACGCGCGCATGCACACGCACGCACGCACACACACACACACACAGATTTACCAAATGTCCACTAAACTAGAAGGGGCAAGATTAGCTCATTCATGGGGCCACCAGGTGGTGTGGTAGTTAAGGGCACGGGACTCCCACAAGCCCAACTGCAGTTCAAGTCTCAGACCTTGTGGCTTGCTTTCTCACTTTCCCTCTCTCTCTTGCTCTGTCCCTCCCTGATCAAAATTAAAATAAATAAACAAGTTAAATAAAAGATTTCTTTTAAAATAAAATATTAGCTTATTCATTTTTGCATCTTCCAATTTTTGCATACATTTAATAAACATTTATTATATATTAATAATAGAATAAACAGTATATGTAGTCATATGAATCAGCGGTAAAAGTAAGCGATGTCCACAGGGCCCTCCAGAAAGCTAAAGAATAAAGGATCTGGAGATAAATATACAATATGCATACTGCCACAGTACTGTACCCTTATAAATAGTTAAAGCAGTAACTTTAATGTTACACATATTTTATCACAATTTAAAAAAAAGCTAAAAAAAAAAAAAAAAAAAAAAAAGCCAGCACTAAGGGATGGGAGAAAATGAAATAACATTAGTCAGCACTAGCACATCCCCCTAACACGGCAACTTTGACAAATATTTTCCTAAATCTGGTGATTAAAAATCAATTCACGTAGAGCATCTCTGCCTCCAACAGAGTTCTTCCAACTAAGAACGCAATGTTTAACCAACTCTCATCATTGCATTAGTGATATTTACAAGACCACCCTTCTCTGTTTCATCTCTAAATTAAAGATGGTTGTCGATAATTCCATCTGATTTGTCTCACTCTGCAAGCATCAGCAATCATTACGCAGCAAAATCTGATGTTCATTTAAAGTCCTTATTTCTTATCTCAAACCTTCAAAAACACTTTAATATTAGAAATGTCTGTCATCTTACCAGCATCTGCTACTTTCTTGACACTAGTTCATAACATCTCTGCAGCACAGAAGATGCAGGAGTTCTCTTTATCTCATTTTCATTTTCTTTTTAATTGCAAGAGCGTGTGTGCACTCACCAGATAAAGACAGAGAGACAGACAGAGAAAGAGGGGGAAAGAACATTCCCCAATAAGATGAGGTCATGCCACAATCCCTTCTCCATTCTGTCGGGCTCTGGGGCTCGCACACACACGGTATGTGTGTTTTTCAAGCTTTCAGGACAGGGACTCAATCATGGCTGGTTCTTTCTCATTTTCAATGAACTGTAAGCTCACAGAACAGGATTAGTCATATAACACGTTCTTGTTATCTGTCCACACATGTATGGCCTGTTTTAATTTAGCTATTATGATGCTACAAGTGCGTATAAATTCACGTTCCAAAACAAAAATCCAGGATCTGGATAAGAAACCGCACTGAACCATATGGCAACCCCCACCCTTTCACGTGAGTTTACCTGAATCCCATGCTTGTTATTGTCTTGCTTTTCTCCTTTTATATAATCTGGCTTTTAGTCTCAGTGCATCTATTTAAAAACGTGTACTTCTTATTTTAGCTGTCTTAAGCCTTTAAAAAAATACCATAGCTTTTTGTTAATTCTCTTCACGGCAACCACTAGACGGTAACAAGTGCATTAACCAGACTCTGTCAGGATCTAACTTACCTAATTAATGTTGAGATATTGTGTAGATGACATAACATTTATTTCATGAAGTCGGGTGCAAGGAAGGTAATAAAAAACAGCACTTTCTAACATTTGGGAATAAGAAGCCATGATACAAATACAAACAGCTTATTTTTATAAGTTCTTTAAAATATTTGCTGTTGGGACCAGCAGATGGTGTAACGGTTACATCACTGGACTCCCATAAGGTTGACTATGGTTCGAGTCCTGGCCCCGGTAGCTTAAAACTCACACTAAGCACATGTGCGTGCATGCCCAAAACTCCTAAAGGAGAATGGAAGAGAAAGGATTGTGGTGTAGACTTCCGGGGGAGGGAGGGGGGGGCTGCTTTCTAGCTTTCTGTCTCTCTAGCAAACACAAGTACCCTATAGCAAAAAATCTCTCTTAAAAAAAGTGCTGTTTACTTCTTTTTTACGACAACACAACTCTTTCATCAACCAACCCTCTTTAACATATGCCTTATTTTTTCCTTAGGTAACCTAGTTCTGCCAGAAGGAAAAAGAGTAACTTTAAGATTCCACCAAAGCTAGAAACTGTTTTTTTTTTTTTTCTAAACATGTACAAAAGGTAGGAAAAAGAACAAGGAATGTCTTTTCAGAAGCATGTTACCGGATTTCCCGCCAAACTCTGCAGGGCATTCAGGAGCGAGAGGGAGCTCGGAGCTGCTTCCTGCTGCTGTCACGGTTCATCTGCTAACTCTATCGTCACCGTGTCCCAGAAATGGGCATAGGCAAGAACAGGGACCTGCCCTGGCTTCCGCTCAGGAATGAATTTAAGCATTTCCAGAGGATGACCACCACCGGTACAGTAGAAGGTAAACAGAATATCGTGACTATGGGGAGGAAGGTCTGGTTTTCCATTCCTGAAAAGAATCGGCCTTTAAAGGATAGAATTAATTTAGTTCTCAGTAGAGAACTCAAGGAACTGCTACAAAGAGCTCATTTTCTTGCCGAAAGTCTGGATGATGCCCCAAAACTTATTAAGCAACCAGAATTAGCTAATCAAGTGGACATGGTTTGGATAGTGGGAGGTAGTTCTGTTTATAAGGAAGTCATGAACCAGCCAGGCCATCTTAAACTGTTCATGACGAGGATCATGTAGGATTTTGAAAGTGATACATTTTTTCCAGAAATTGATTTGGGGAAATACAAACTTCTCCCAGAATACCCAGGTGTTATTTCTGATGTCCAGGAGAAGAAAGGCATTAAGTATAAATTTGAGGGGGACCAGCAGTTACCATAATGGCTATGTCGCTGGACTCCCACATAGTCGACCGCGTCCCGGACCCGGTGGCTTAAAACTCATGCCGGGCGCGTGTGCGTGCGTGCCCAAGATCCCAAGAGGAGAATGGAGGAGAAGGGACTGCGATGTGGCCATCCCCCCAGGGGGTGATTTCTCGCTTTCTGTCTCTCTGTCTCTCTCTGTCTGGCAAGTGCACGTGCCCTATAGCGAAAATCTCTCCAAAAAAAGAAAAAAAGGTATAAATTTGAAGTGTATGAAAAGAATGATTAATGTAAAGGTGTTTTCAAGATGTTTCCTTTGAAAAAGTGTATATTTTTATATTTTAAAAAAAGGCTTTTGTTGACTTCAGACTTATGGATAATAATTTCTAAGCAGTATGCTTTTATTCCCATTAATGTTAAATAGACTATATCAGATACCACTTGTGTCATAACTGTCACAGCTTCTTGCCATAGCTGTCTCGGTACTTCTCCCTGAAAGCTGAGTCCACGGCACCTGCTTAGGGTAGCACATATGAGACGGCCCACAGTGGAGAGTCCCCAGGTAGCATGAGTTGACATGACACCAGGTCCCATAGAGACAGAAGCTAGATAGATTAGTTCTGGAGTAGAAAAGCTGGAACTCAGATTTGAAAAGAAACTTAGATCAAAGTAGGAAGTGAATATTCTGTGTACATCACATTCTAAGTAAAGTTCTGCTCACTGTATCTTACAGAAACTTAGAAGATGGCAGTAGGTGCCTACAGTGGCTGAAAGACTCACTACAGGCAGGCCAGCTTGAAATCTGAAAGTCCAATCCTTTCTCGAATTTATTTTAAAAGAAAGTTATAAATATGTCCAGGAACTAACATAACTTTTTCTAAAAATAGTCCATTATTTGTGGAATTTGTGTGTGTGTGACTAGCAAGTGACCTGGTGGTCAAGGACGCTGGACTCCCACATGGCCAACCATGGTTCAAGTCGTGGACCTGGCTGCTTGCTTTCTCTCTCTCTCTCTCTCTCTCTCTTGCTCTGTCCCTCCCTGATCAAATTAAATAAGTAATTAAATAAAGTTAAAGAAAGTAATTTGAAAAAAAAGTTACCTACTCTTCTTTCAAGAGCACCTTAGAAGCCTTTAGTCCTACTGCCACATAAAACTACTGATCCCCAAATCATCTCCCCAAATTGAACATGTCCCACTCACAGCAATTTTGCATGTTATGCTGCCTACTGGTTTACACATCTGTCTCTTTCCACACCATAAATGCCTTCAAGGTAGGGGCTATATTTTGTCTTCATCTTTGTATCTCTAGATTTCCACCATACTTGGAACATTGTAAATATTTCCTAAACATATCAGTGGATGGATAGAAAACATTAATGCACCTACTTAAATCACATTATTAGGAAACAGTAAGACTGGCATATCTGCTTTTTTAAGGACATAACTTATAATAAGTGGAATTTAAGTATGATAAAACTTAAACTGTATATCATAATTAAGGAGGAAAACTACCATCACCACACATCCAGCAATATGCCTAGGTCTTGAGTTCTGAACACCAAAAGAAGCAGGATTTGGTGAGACAACACTTTCTTATCCCTAAATAGATAAATATTCATGCACCAACCATAAAATGAAGGCTGCCTCTTTGAATGTGGCAAGTGGAGCCAGCAGGTGAAGTGGTGGTTAAGGCCATATGGCCAATTGCTCTTCTAGACCCCCAACGCAACCCCTCAAATCAACCCAGCCCTGGCTTTTCAGACCTGTTTCCCTAAAGATCAAACTCCTTGACAACAGGGCCAGACGCTCAGTCAGCTTGCATCCTTTGTTCATAAAACATATTCCGGGCAGGAGCAGAAGCTCTAAAAGACTACTTTAATACGACACGAGCCAAGGCAATACCAGAGTCACACCTGCCTTCCACTTGCCTAGGTGAGCTCTCCTCTTCGCATGCCACCATCTGCACCTCCTGGTTCTGCAGCCCGAGAAGGAAGGCGATCCTTCCCCTCCACTCCCTGAGCCTGGAAGAGACAGCTGCCCGGCTGCTGGGTGCTAGTGATCAAACTACTCCGTCAGGACATGCCCCACGAAGAGGAGAAAGAAACGTCTTCAGACCAACAGAGACCGGAGGCCTGGGTAAGCGGAGGCGACCGGAGGAACGTAGCGGAGGTGGGCACAGGCAGGCAAGGCCTGCGGTGTGAGATGACTTCGCCGGCGACTCGGCCCGGTCCGGCCGGGCCTCTTCCACGGGAAGCTGGGCCTAAAGCAGCGACCTCGCGTCCTGCGCCGCCCGGGAAGGAGCCCCCGCCCCTGGTCCCCGCTCCCCGCCAGGCGGCCCGCCTGGGGCCTCAGGGACGCCACTTACCCGGCTCGCCCGGCAGACTCTGCCCATGGGCCGTGACGGCAACAACACGGAGCCTGGCTGCACACCGCGGAAACCCGGCGATGGTCAGAGCCCACGGAGGCGCCCACCCACCGCCTACTCTGCAGGGTGCTGCGCGGCGCGGGGTCAGGGCGCGCAGGCCGCCGGGAGAGCGGGTTTGCGCCTGCGCCTGCGTAAGCCCCTGCGCCTGCGCCACGCGCGCCTCGCCGTGCTGCCCCTGTCGGCGGGAGGACCGCACTGCACCCTCCCCTCGGCCGGCGTTCTTTCCTTCTACCAAGCGGTGTCGCCGTGGCGCAAGGTTTCGACGGCCAACACGGTTAGAAGTGCGGAGCAATGACCCCAGATGGGGAGAAGGAGAAATGGTTCAAGACGGCATTATCGAATGCAGAGAGGGGAAGATTCCGTCCCTAACCTCTGGTTCTGATTTATGTAGAACCGTTCATTGTATACAACAAGCTGAAAACAAAAATCGCCACAGGCTAGCTGCTGCAAAAGAATACAAAACAGCATTGGATTAAATGAATTCAGTGTAGACTAAGGGAACAGAGAGATATTAGGGCTCCAGAAAAGAAAGTGAACGTTATAAAGACACACAATTTAAAAGTAATGTAGCTAACAAATGTTGAGAGGGGTAGAGAAAATGAGACTCGGTGTAAAGTGTTTTTACATCTATAATTGGGCGTTACAAGTATTTCAAACTGAGGGCCAGTTAGTGGCCTGGTAAGTGTTAAGTGAGATGGATCCCACATGGCTGACCTCTACATCAGAGTCAGTAACTGAGCGGGTGCACGTGCATGCCCAAAATCTCAAAAAGAGAGAAATGGAGAGGGGATTTCTGTGTGGACAAGCACCCAAAGGGAGTGCTTCCTTCTCTTTTTCTCTACACGCATATACCGTCCGGCAATTATTTTTTCCAGGTTTTTGCCATAGGGCATGTGTGCTCACCAACAAGAGAAGGAAAGTGAGAAATCACCCTTCAGGGGGTATGGCCACGTGAAATCCCTTCTCCTCCATTCTTCTCTCCAGATTTTGGGCACCCACACAGGCACACTGCGTGTTCCTTAAGCTGCCAGTGTAGGGGACTCAAACTGAGAGGTCCGTAGTGTGTGATTCAGTCACCCCAATCACAGCACCACCAGATGGCCCACCTAAAAATGTGTATTTCAAGCTGATAGAGAGATTTAAGTAGACATCTCAGTACATAGAAACTTAACAAGAAAGATAATATAATCAATTAAAACCTGATAATCCAAGGTTGGAAACATGAGAAAAGAGATACAGTAGATAGGTAATAGATAATCTAAAAAAGCAGAGGATTAAGGACATCATATGGTAGTATAGTTATAATGGTAACCCAGAACAAAAATACAAACCTTTCAAGTGATCGAGAAACAAACACACACATACACACAACTACAACAAAACAACATGGTGACATATTTTAATAGTTACAGAATGGAAAACATAACAGGACAGCATGGAGGTAAGACCAAACATCTCGCATGAATAAATGTAAATGACCCAAGCTTATCTATTTAAAAAACTATAACTGGAGCCAGCAGGTAAGAAGTTGGATCTCCCATAGCTGACTGCACAGTTCAAGTCCTGGACCTGATGACTTGAAATGTGTGTGAATGTCCAAAATCCTGAGAGGAGGCCAGAAAAGAAGGGAATGTGGTATAGCAATCCTCTCTCTCTTCCACTCTCTCTGGAGAGTGTATATGCCCTATAGCAAAAATAAATAAATAAATAAATAAAATAACCTAATATTGGAACATAAACCATAACACAACTCTGTATTATACTATATACAAGAAAGTGTGCAAATAAAATTATTTTGGGGACCAGCAGGTGGTATGGTGGCTAAGGGTGCTGGACTCCCACATGGCCGACTGTGGGTCAAGGCCCAGACCCGCTGGCTTGCTTTCTCACTTTCTCTCTCTCTCTCTCTCTCTCACTCTGTCCCTCTCTGGTCAAATTAAAATAAATAAAGATAAATGAAATAATTTTGAAAAATAAAATGATTTTGAAAATACAAGATAGGAAAAGATATACCAGGAGTATGCAGACATAAAGAAATCTGGGATCACAAATAATTTATATGAAGTTGATTTCAGGGCAAAAAGCATTAAATAAGAAGGACATTTTATAATCAGTAGGAGTACAAAACGTAAGGAAGGGAAAAAATAGAAAAATTATGCACCAAATAACATAATCTTATTATTCACATAGCAAGCACTGTAAGTGTGAATAAAACAGACAGAAATAATTGGCACAATCCTTGCCAGATGAAGGGCACAAAAAGTGAGTGAGCATCAAGAACACTTAAAAATATCATTACATAATAGATCTAATATATCCAACTCCATTCCCTGAGGCACAGTTTACATCTTTTCAAGTGTCCTTGCAACATATACAATTGGCCATATTTTAGGCCACTGAGAAAAAACTAATCCTAATGTATTTCATTAAGAAGAACCATATGGGTAATATTCAATCCTAATTTGATAAAACTAAAAGTGAATGACATAACAGAAAATAAAATATCTCTACTCCTAGGAAATTTTTAAATGCTTAAACAATATTTGGATCAAAAAGGAAAACAAAACTAAAATAGCTTAATACCTACAAAAGTGTGAAAATGATCTATCAGAGCTGGCTCTTAGTCAGGTTTTAAGGGAACCAGATCCCACATGCCCAACCACAGTTTGAATCCTAGCCCTGGTGGCTTGACAAGACATGCCAGGCATGTGTACAAGCATGCCCAAAATGCTGAGAGGATGGAGAAATGTGAGCATGCCCAATGAGAGGTGCTTTCTCTCTCTGTGTCGCTTTGTCTTTCTCTGGTGAGCACACATGCCCTCTAGCAACTTTAAAAAAAAAAGAAAAAAAGAAGAAAATGGCCTATTATGACCTGTGACATTTAGCTAAAATAGTACTAAAAGGAAAATTCATACTTTTTTTTTCCATGCCACCAGGTTTGGAAATTACAGTTGTAATTCAAACTACACAATCAGCCATATAGAATCCAGCTGCCTTAATTACCATGCCACTGGCTGGCCCCAAAATTCATATTTTAAATTTTTGTATCCATTAAGAAATTAGGGTAAAATAAATGACTTAAGCACCTGTGCTAGAAGCAGGACATTGAACAAAATAAAATCCTGAAATGGAAGGAAGTAATTGTGAAAGAAAATAGAACAGAATGTTGTTTAAACTGAAAAAGAATGAAGACCAAAGATAAACGATGTCTAGATTGGGTCTCTTCCCACCCCCATCAAAGCACAAGTGGGCATGTAAAGGCCCTGATTCTGAGACACGGTGACCTGGGGACTCTCTCCCTATTTGCTGTCTACCAACCTTCCCTAATCTTTCTAAAGTCTCCACTTTGCGGTCTGTTACACGCAATTCCCCTACTTTCTTTTTGGTGGGAGTTTTTGTTCTCAAATCAGTCACAGACACCTTTAGGATTACAGACCATAGGTGCAGTCCCATCCATTGGGAGTTTTCTAGTTTAATTCTCAGGAGAAAATCTTAACTGCCCTCATCTCCTAGTATTTGAAAATGTCACCCTTAGCACCGTTTTCTGGTGGTAACAAGTATTAATTTTATTTTATAAACAGAGAACCTGAAGTTTAACATGAGACATGGACTCACATGCACGTGCCCAACTCATGCCACATGCTCATGGAGGTTCTGGGTTGTAAACTCAGGGTCTTTCCTATATGGTCCATTTGCATTGCCCCCATGCAACCACCTGCCCTCCCCCATCTTTATTTTAAAAATACGTAAATTTATACAGACATAGTATCTAAAAGATATTTGCCAATGTGGTTTTTCTCTAGGTAGGTGAGATTACAAGGATTCTTTATTTGAATTTTTTGTTTGTATTTTTTTAAATTTTCTAGTAATATACTTGCATTTTTTTCATAATAAAAATCATAAAAAATTATCAATTTTTTTTTGGAGAGATTTTCGCTATAGGGTGCGTGCGCTCTCCAGACAGACAGAGACATAGAGACAGAAAGCGAGAAATCACCCCCCCAAAGGGGATGGTCATGCTGCAATCCCTTCTCCTCCATTCTCCTCTCGGGATCTTGGGCACGCACGCACACGCACCCGGTGTGAGGTTTAAGCCACCGGGTCCGGGATGTGAACCGCAGTCGACTACGTGGGAGTCCAGCGACATAGCCATTACGCTACCTGCTGGTTCCCGGAAATTACCATTTTTTAAAAAAGTTTTTTGCCATAAGGCGCATGCACTCACCAGAGAGAAACAGAGAGAGAAGCAGCAAGAAAGAAAGAAGTTATCCCCCTCTAGGGGACAGCTATGTCCAGATCCCTTCTCCTCCATTCTCCTCCTGGGATTTTGGGCATGCACACACATGCGCCTGGTGTGATTTTTCAAACCACCAGGTCCAGGACTTGACCCAATGGGCCATGAGGGAGTCAAGTGCCTTAACCACCATCCTACCTGCTGGCCCCCAGATGATCAGTTTTTAAAGGCCCGGCTGTGGTATGCAGGCAGCAGATAGCCTGCTACACAACGGTGGAGACCATGTGAGGGGGCGTTGGGTTGGTATCCCAGGCCCACCTTCACGCATTGGGCATTCCCAGGATTCTGGGCTGCAGAGCTAGAGGAGGATCATGGTGTGAAGACCCTGTTAGGGGAGGAGGCAGTCTTTCTCAAACTGGAAATAAACATAAGAAATTTAGAAAATAAAATATGCAGAAATTTCCACAGTTGTAATTCATCTTCTACCAAATGATGTCTGTTCTGCTTGTTTGTCAAGATTTTCATAAAATTTTAAATACCGTTGATTTATTGAAAATGAATCTTTTCAGTAAGAAATGTGCTTTTTTAGAAAAACACGATGTGTGTGCA